TTCTGTTTTTTGTTGTTTGAATGTCTTTTTTTGTGTGTTTTGTTGTTTGAATGTCTTTTTTTTGTCTTTTCTTATTTATACGGAGTAGTAAAGTAAGGAAGCGTGCATAGGTTTAACAACCCAATCAACTCCAGTAAGTTAGTTAAGAGGCGGGACCTCTGAACTTACTATCCATCTCTGATAAGGCCGAGCCAAGTGGGTTGAGAGCCTTGAAAACTCCACGTATAACGACCCAAGTTTAAAAAAACCCACCCCGTTGTGAGATTTGAACCAGGGTGGTCCACTCCGTAGTCCAGCATGATACCATCTGAGTTATTATAGAACACTCTTGTGTCGATCGAGGAAAGGTATCAAAACCACGTGTTTGCCAACATGCATCTATCGTCCTTACCTCCCCTCCTTCTTTTTTATGTTTGTTACTCTCTTGTAACACCTCTAATCTTCTGGCACTCATATGACCTTATGCTGTTGCGAGCACCGTAAAACCTCTACTAAAAGAAAAACAGTACTATAGTGATGTCTGACTGCATGGTATGAAATTGTTGTCATGTTTCCCAAAAGAAGAGGAATGAGATTCTTGTGTAAAGGAACAAGCAGGGTCAAGGGTCATTAGAAAGACAATAAATTGTTTTTCAAAAGACAAACGAAAGAAATCTTTACGTCTGTTTGTGATACATATCTTTACTATTACTACCCACTTTCAGCAATTGTAGTATCTTCTATTTTTTTCTCATTGTTCTTTATTTGCATTTTTTGCTTTATAAATGCTGAAGTTTCTATTTATTTGCAGTTTCGTTTTGTCGAATTTTTTTCCCCCTCATGTTTTCTGTACTTTCTTCAGTTTTGTCATGCTGTTGATATTGTTCCCAAGCCTCTAAAACAAAGCTCTCATTTCCTATGAAAAGTATATTATGTTCAGTTTGATTGGTATTGTGGCGTCGATGACCTAGTGGTTAGGCTCTCGGACTCGCAACAGTAAGGTCGTGGGTTCGAATCCCGTCAGGAGCCCGACGTTGTGTCCTTGGGAAAGGCACTTTACACGAATTTTCCTCACTTCACCCAGGTGGGAATGGGTACCCGGCTATAGACAGCGAAAGATCTTTTCAGTTTGTTAGTGTTTGAGCGCTTAATCGGCTACTCGCACTGTATGCTTCCCGGAAAGCTGAGAATGTTTCGGAGTGTTCTATGATCTGCTGGGGTAATAATATAGTGTAAAGCGCATAGAGCCTGCTGTTGAGCGGGGATATGCGCTATACAAATGCTATCTATTATTATTTTTATTGTAT